ATGGATGAAAAGAGAAAAATCATATGATATCCACACATAGTATGTATCTGTCTAGCAATTGTGGTTAGATGAGGGATGTACAGATGCTTGGCTATCTATCATAGATAGATCCATAAACAGTGTCAACCTATGATATATCGATAGAATTGAATAGAATTAAGTGTGTTAAACAGACTTTTCCAGCAAGCGTTACAACTAACCCTCTGCCTGTTACAATGAACCCCATCTACGGGGTAACATTTCACGTCTGCCAATTCTCAGTGCACTTGTAGACGAAAGGTAAGTTCTAGAAAAAAAACAACTGTTCATTTGTAGCAGAGATGTGCATGTTGCTAGAACAAAAATAATTAATCTCAAACAGTTTTGATAACATTTAGCCCAAACTAAAATGTGTTAGGTTTGCCCCGCTCTCCCCTTCTGAGGTGGGTCATAAGCAAGAGGCCCTTCTTCCTTCCTTTTTAATATAATGTTAATTTTTCCATTAGTTGTACCTATGCTGGAAGGTATATCTGAAGGGAAGAAGTAAAGGAGTGCTAAATTCAAGAATCATCTCATTTAGACAACTCAAGGTCTGATGTTCATCTTGCGTTCTAAAATTTTCTCCATCACTAAGGGAATATTAGCATTTTAAATAAAGAAAAACATTATTTTATTGCCATGCATCACCCTTTTTTTATTCTAGTAAGAGATATTTGTGATCCAGTCTCTCTTTTTGCCATTAGAATGCTTACTGCACTGAAAGACCTGAAATTCAAACTGAAATATGTTGCTTCTTAGTTTGAAACTGCGTACACCACATTAGTAGTTTCCATCCTTGTGCCCTCAAATTCAGTCTAAAAGATATAGTGTTAGTTTTTGTATTGGCTTTGATTTTGACATTAGTTAGTGGGTTAATAAAGCAAACTATACACTGATCTTAAGCACAGTTAGAAGAGTTTAGGACAAAGAGCTGAACACACAGTTTGGGGCAGAGCATCCCTCAGTATGTTTCCTTGAATTCATTTTTTCCACTTCAACTGCCCACTCTGCCTCCTATCCTTCGCAAGTGTGGAAGAATGGAGGAGTTGTCTGACAGCTCTCAGAGTTGTGTTAAGTTTACTGTGAACTCCCAGCAGAGGCATAAAAGATGAGAAGCACTTCTTCCAAAGAACACCCCTTCTTATCTCTCCCAGAGCTATGTGGGTTGACTCTAACTGCAGGAAGTCTGGAGACTGTGCACAGACACAAAGAGATGGCAAATTCACAATTTAACAGCTTCATGTTTCAAAGCATGAAGTTCACTTGACAGTTTTTACTAGAGTTCATATCAACAGAGATAATCACCTGATCTTTATCTTGAATTAAACACATATTATGACCTGGCCATGGTCTTTATCATCATACACACATTCAGTGTATTTTAGACCTTGTATGCTGTAGCTGACAAAACAATCAAATTGTCAAATTGAATGTCATTGAATGGCCATTATCGGTCCTTATAGATATGGGTTAGGAGGGGCCTGTTACACCTTCTGGTAGGTGGCAACCTCTAGTGGCCACAGTAATCAAGACGGGAGCAAAGGAGGAAGTCAGGGAAAATAACTTAAACATAAAACGTGGCGAAGTCCACTGAGGGAGGAGACTGGGGAGGTGAATGGGTCAAACAAACACAGGACTTTCCTACAAGGCAATGGGATTTGTGTCCTATGTGAAACCAAAAGTCAAGGTGACTTATTTTAATTAACGTACTAAGTTCGTCACATTACATCATGTTACATAGCGAACTTAATTTAACCATGACTTTTTTTCTAAACCTAATCACATCGTATTGGTGCCTATCCAAAGTGAAAGTGAAACCTAACAGAACAACGTCACATGACAGCCGAAGCGGGATGTATACTTGTGTGTCGGCTCTATGCAGAGCCTATGCTGAAGCCTATGCACATGGCCTACGCCATTGTAAGCATTTATAAGCATATGTATGTGTGAGGGTGTGTCTGTGTCACTCTGCAGTTTCACCTCCAAACCACTAGTCAGTGTGGGGATTTCTGTGAAGTGCTGTGAAGTCTAGTTGATTCAAAACACACATTAAACATGGCTTAATAGCGGCAATTTCAAATACAAGCACACAGATCACTTTAACTTGCAGCATTCACAGACAAAGCATTCGTCTTTTGTTGGACACATTTTCCCCACAAATACAACACGCTAATATTTTTAGCACAAGCCTATGGCATTTTACATTGCATAAATTAGCCCAGCGGCTCACAGACTTTTCCTCTTCTCATATGAAGCCAGGGACAACAGCAACATTTAACAAAGGTAACGTTACAAAATTCAGCTCTGTTACAGCTCACAGGGTTCACCAACAAAACAACTGTCTTATGCTAAACACATTTTCCAAACAAATATAACATGCTAACGTTATTAGCACAAGCCTGTGGCAATTTACATTGTATAAATTAGCCTAGTGACGAGAGGAGATTTCCTCTGCTCATGCGAAGCAAGGATAAATCTTGAAGTATAAATCCCTGAAGGATAAATCACTCACAGGACTTAAAATGCTATTTTTGTGGAGGCTTTATTGTCTTCACACTTTATTGTTTCTTAACTGTGAAATTAAAGTAAATAAAAGCTTCTTTTCCACTGAGGAAAATGGTTTCAGCTTACAAAAATAGACAAGAGGTCTGTGTTGCCGCAATGTTTTCTTACATTTCTGGGGAGGTGCACGTCAGGCGATAACGTAGGGTATGGTTCAGGCATTACGTCAACGCAGAGTCTATGCCGTAGACACAGCATCGATTGGACACAGAAGTATAAATCACATCTGATAACAGCCTACTGAAACTACTAATAGGTGCAGCAGGCCCCTGACAATTCATATCTGTAAGGCTGATAACCACTAGTAGTAGCACCTATTCAATTGAGTGATATCATGAAAAATGGTATATACAAGCACTTTAGAGGCTTGATGTCCGTGTTGGCATTTGATTGAAAGTTTTTTCTTTTGTCCATTTTCTCTCTGGTTGATGATGATTTCATGTTGTAAACATGGACAGGAAGTGGGACACAGCTGTCACACACTCTGGCTCAATATGCGTTTGTCTTTCATTGAGATGACATATCGGCCCTCAGGCCTTTTTCCAGATAAACAGTCAATCGATTGTTGATTTTGAAGAAGGCCTGAGGGCTGAAACGTCATCTGAGTAAAAGAGCCAGAGTGTGCGATACTTGCTTCCTACTCTCAAGTGCACTGCCAGTAATCAGCACCTCACTTCAACCCTTAATGTGCGTTAGTTCTCACTCTGGGGGACATATTGTGAAGGACAAAAATATTCTACACCGCTCATTTGCTCTGGATAATGGCTTTCATGTGTAAGTGAAACCTCTGAGTGGTAAAGTCATTCTTTTATATTCTAATTTTGTTGATTTTTACTGAATTGAATTGCCCTGAAATACTGTAAATTGGATGCAAAATCCCTCCAGAAACTGCTCTAAGTTCTGGGACCACACTGAGAACCGCTGTGAGGTCTGCTCAGATGAAGGATGTCTTAAGCCTGTTGCTACTGCTCTTCACTTTACAGTAATATCCACCCTCATGGCAGTTAAGCTTCATAAACGATGTCTACTTTACTGGTGATCTTTTTTCCACTTGACCCACAACCTCACCAATCCTCTTACTTTACTCTGCCGCTCTTTTCTCCTGCCCGCTGTTATGCCCCCATTTGACATGACTTGTTTTATCTGCCTCAGGAGCATAAAGACACAGCACAGAGCCTCCCAAGACTCCTGTTCCAGTTTGCAACAGGAATAAAATCATATTGATTTGTCTATCAGCGTACCGACAGACTACAATAACAAACGGGTGAAAGCCTCCACCTGAAAGCTGTTAGCTTTGTTTTCATGTGATCTGTCTGGTTCTACTCTGCTCTTGGCCTGAGGAGTTACAAGATGTGACAACAGGCCAGCACAGACCATAAATTACCCTCATCTGGAGCCGGTTGTCTCCTTTTAATACTAATAGGAGCCATGGGGGTCAGGAGAGTTAGTAGCTAATGAAGAGCTGTGATAGTACAAAAGCACTTCCTGAGACATATGACACTCAATCAGGGTGATAAGGACAGGGCAGGAGAAGCCCAGGGAGGAAAACTATCAGCGAAATGACCTTTACTAACGTCAATAGATTAGCTTTCAGATGATTTCACAATGTGCCTCAGCTCTGTCAGAGGAATTCAATGTAAGTGTGTGTAGCTATATACTGAAAGAGTCCCACTCCACTTAAGTAAATATCCAGTCTGGATGACTTTCAAAGTTTAGATGACTTTCAGTTCGTCACATCATCTGTGATTGTTTGGACTGGGCTGTCATTCACCTGAGCTGTGTTCACAGTCATTTTCCGAAGTGTGAAGATCTCCTAAATATCAAAGTGAGCGAAGCAGTTTTCAAATGCACACACAAAAAAGGGACTATTTGCATATGTGCTCTCGCTGCAACACGGTATTTGTAACTCCAGCGTCACTGACACACACCAAAGTAAATTTTCTGGTGACGCCTGAAGTCATGTTTGACTTGTATCACTGTTGGTAATAGACAGCACAGGGACGTCACAAATAAAAGTAGGTTGCCAGAAAATAAACTTTGGGAGAGAGCGTTGTGTAGTGCAGAGAAATTAGATCAGGAGCTGTGATTCAACACATCTCCAGTCAAAGAAAATTTGCACCCATATATATGATGACAATTTTTATCTTTCTGTTTCTATAATGTTATACTGTCAAATGTCTCTCACATGTGCAGCTACTAATGGGTGTAAGATCATATTAATCTTTTAGCAGTGTAAATTAAAGCCATTCCAATGTGTGGGTGTGGTGCCACCTGGTGGTGATACACAATAGTACCAAAATTATGCAAGTACTTCACCTCTGTCTGTCCTGCCATCTGTGATACAGGTGGTTTATTATAAATCATTATTTCAAAGAAAGCTAAGTGGTTACATTAGAAAAATAAATGTCAAATCTTACAAATGTTCAAGAAAACAGTTTATTTAGAAAATAAAAGGAAGCCTGAAGGAAGCAGTTTATTTATAACAAGCTTTCACTGCTGCATGAACAATGCTTGTAATTTAACACTCTTCCTGGACGTCGCACTAGCAGTGCATTGAGCCACACATCATAACACAGAGCACATTAAACTGGAGAACAGGGAAATGAAGAGCTGGCTTGAGATTCATGTGATTATTTTTCATAGGTTTTAAACAAGGAAGTTAAAAGACAACTGCGACATTGTTCCATTAAGTTTTATGTAAATGGACAACTAGCTGCAAAAGAGTAACTTTTCCCCACCATGTGGCAAGTGTCCAGTGAACAACTTGAGCCACCTTAAATTCTAAATGACAAGGTAAATCAGCACATATAATGACTACAGTTACACACAATGACAAATCATACACCAGCAGAAGCATGTCTGCCCCTTCAACACACAGGAAGGTGCACATCAAACTCAAGAATGCCTCTCTCATGCTTCTTCGTCATCTAAATGAGCAAGACAGAGTCACATATACTTAACATTTGCACATGTAAGGATTGTAAAGAAAACTGAGGGAGCTTTAAGTGCTCTGTTCAAACTGGAGTGCCAGTAAAAACACTTTGGATACAGTAGGAGACTTTTGATTGATTTGAAGAATTTACTAAAACAGTGGTTCCCATCTGGTCCAGATTTCTCCGTAGCCATTAGTTCAAGGTCCACTGTTTAATAGTCTCAGCATCATACTTGAGTTTGGCCGTGTCGTCGAGCTAGTTTGCTGTCACTGCCAAGTGACTGTCCGTTATTCATTCACTCTACAGCAGGGAATGGCACTTCAAAATAAAAGCTATGCGCCAGATATTCACTGTATTTCAAAATAAAGTGTTTTTTTACAGACTTGACACATTTGCGAGTCACTTGCAGTCCATTCAGAATGGACCTGCTACCCACTTTTGGACCGCGACCCACCAGTTGAGAACCACTGTACTAAAATATCAATAAGGTCAGTTATTTCACTTCCTTCCCATGTCAGTCTCTGGTTGTTCTACACGCCTACCCTGGCTCAGTCAAGCGACTTTAGAACCTAAATTATCATCTCAGGACAAACTTACTAATTCCAGTGTTATCTAGGTATGGGCATTGAGAACCGCTTCCAAATTGTGTGAATGCATCAGAATTGTATATGCCTCAGAGGCCCTTTTACACACAGATCGCACAGTCCCGTCTTTATGCCTACTTTGCATTTTTACACAGAATCAAACAACGGCGGCATCATTCTTTGCTGAATTGGGAGCGGTGTGGCGAACATGATGTGTGGCAAGGCAGCGTTGGCCTCTGGTGTGGTGTGTAACACGCGCGTTGGCAGCACTTTTGACACAATAACAATGGCATTAACGCACCAATTTACAGCCGCTGTTCTTCTTCTCTGAGTTAGCTGCTAATTGCTAACAGCTATTTTTTTTAATCTCCCACATTGGGTTGCACGCATGACATGTTGTCTAAACATTACATTAGACCCATGCCACCCATGATCCCATCCCGCAGACTGTCCTGTTTATTCGGCCACTGTTTCGGCATTGTTACTATCTCCAGTGGAACATTAAAGGCACCTACCACGTACCTTAAATACAGCACAAGGCAGCATGAAGGTGTGATATTCCCGCTTTGAACCGACAGCGTAAAAAGGGCTGGAGCTTATTAATTCCTTTCATCATAGACGGCATGTTTTTCTGATAATGTGCATTGCAAAATGATGTCAAACTCATAGTGCTGGAAACTTGAAACAAGGAATCATGGCAGTGATTAGGAAACGATCCATAACGTGGCTTCATTTCAACAGTGCTGCTTGTATTGTCCATAAGATGATGATTTCAGCTGAGGATGGAAACACCAGCAATATGCGGAAACAACTCTACGCAACGCAGGCTTAAATTCCAGAAATGCCATGTATCTGACACTCTTTGCACAAGAGCCACTGCTTCCCAGCTGAGCACCACGTCTGTTACCGAGGGTAAATATCCTGTTAGCACCACACAGGCAGGCTTAGCAGGTTTTTCTTTGACAGAAAATCTAATTGACGATGTATGCTGTACAAATGTTTTCTTATTTAGTCCATTTTAGACGATGGCAGGCTGTCACATGCCTTTTTCTACTGTTTTTACACTGTGTACAAAGTCAGAGAAAATAAAACTGTTGCACTGATGCTGATAACCAGTGTGGGCTTACTTTTTTCCCAGGCAGAAATAGTATCGGGAATCAATAATGGAAACAATTGACAGGATTGACAAATGTTATCAATTCCCATCCCTAGTGTTGGCGTTCAATTTAATTGCAGCTCAGGTTGGACACCTTTAGTTCTGATATTGCACCTCATTTAAGCATAAATAAGAAACCACATGTTCACATGAGAGGGAGACAAAAATAAACAATGGCATCTGATTGTCTTGTCAGTAACACTACTCCCCTTTCTCTTTCCCTTTGTCCTTGCTCTTGTCCCGAGGTACACGGCCCATGTTATAAAACTCTACGTTTGGCCTCATGTCAGTGAGGTGGGCGAGCCGGTTGGACATGGCAAAGAAAGCAGCGATGGCAGCGATGTCCCACGCATCCTCGCGGTCAAAGCCCACTTTCTCCAAAGACTCCAAGTGTTGCTCTGTGATGGTGTCGGAGCGACACACAGCCATGGCAAAGTCCAGCATGGCGCGCTCCCGTGGTGACAGCTCTGCATTCTTATAGTTAACGACAACCTGCGTGAAAGTAGAGAAGGAGCTCATTAGACAGAACATGTGTCATTTAATATACAACTTTTTTGAATCACAAGAAATGTGTTTAGCTTCAGTTGATTGAAATGCCCTGTAACGTACCTACACTAATGTGACAACTGCAGTAATTATGTATTATAATAAGCAAAGCAGAAACAAGTAGTAAAAAATCTATTAAAGGAATACTTCATCCCCCAAATGTTTATTTTGTTTACCGATTACTCACCCTGTGTTACCTTAAATTCAGGAAGAAAACTTTGTTTTTCTTGCATGCCTTCATGGTAAGCAAAGACTCCAAAAATAAAGAAAATGTTCGATGAATGGAAGTAAAGGGGGGGCCAGGTTTAACAACAAAACTGTGTCAAAACATCTGTTTACAAACTCTCACACAACTCGCACAGTATAATCCAAGTCTCATTTTTACACTTGCCTACTCAGTACTTCCCAAACAGTGCATGCATTGTGTGAGACTGTTTATGCAGAAATGTTTTAAATATTAATATTTCAGCAAACATGCATGTATTTGGAAAATACCAAGCATACCACTGGATCAGTGAGACTTGGATTATATTGCACGAAATGTTTGAGAGTTTGTTAACAGATATATTTTTGCTGCTGTTATGTTCGATCCAATCCGACTTTAATTCATCAAGAATTTTCTCAGTTTTTTAATTCATCATTCATATGCGAGAAAAACAAGGTTTCTTCCAGAGTTTGACGTAATGAGTAATTGATATACAAATAATCATTTTAGGGGTGAGGTATTCCTTTAAAGAATATACCTGATCGGAAAGAGTGGGTTTCTTCGAGTAGATGCGGTGCAATGCACCATGGGCGATCACACAGTAAAGACACTTGTTGTGGGTACTGGTGGCCACTACAATCAGCTCACGGTCGGCTTTGGTCAATCCCCCTGGAAGACATTAGATAGCAAATCAATGTGAAATTGTCAGCATAGGGTACAGCAAAGTGAGATTTATACTTCTGCATCAAATCGACACTGTACCTATGGTGTAGGCTCTGCGTCGACGTAGAGCCTACACCGTACCCTATGCCGTCGTGGCAAGGCAGACCTCCTGCCTATGTTTGTAAGCTCACCCTCAGTAGAAACAAAGCCTTTATTTACTTTTATTTCACAGATAAGAAACAATAAATTGAGAAGACAATGAAGCCTCCACAAATCACCATTTTAAGTCTTGTGTGCGATTTATTATAGCTTTATATGAGTAGAGGAAATCACCTCTAGTCACTAGGCTAATTTATACAATGTAAAATGCAATAAGCTTGCGCTAATAACGTTAGCATGTTGTATTTGTTTGGAAAATGCATTTAGTATGAGACAATTTTGTGACGTTAAACTTGTTAAAGGAGCTATATGTAAGAAATCTAAAGCAAATAGTCGTAAAATCCTCCTAATATGTCACAGAGACTAAGGAATAATGTTCATATAACATACTGATCTCACCGACAACAATAGTACAGCCAGAATATTTGCATCTAAAAATTTTTTTTGCAGTCTGCAAATCATGTTTATGTTTTGAATTTGTGTTTTGGCCTGTTGCGCCACCCACCGCCGTCTACCAGTCAGGCAGTTAGTGGAGTCTCAGCATCAGTTACAGTTACGACTGAGCTAAAGCAGCACGGCAAGCAGCATTAGCAGTGTCCCGGTACATAGCATTAGCAGTCTCCTCAGCTGTATCCCGGCAGCAGCGTTAGCAGTGTCCCGGTACATAACATTAGCAGCCGGCTCCTCCTCAGCTGTATCCCGGCAGCAGCGTTAGCAGTGTCCCGGTACATAGCATTAGCAGCCGGCTCCTCCTCAGCTGTATCCCGGCAGCAGCGTTAGCAGCAGAGAAGCCGGACTTGCTCGAACGGTCCGCTGGAAAACCGAAGATCAAGGACGCGGTGATGCGGCCCTGCCACGGCAGTCTCCAGCATGCCGCTGTCCAGCAACCTCAAATCTGTAGGGGAGGGGGGGCGGACATGACTCGCGGCAGTATTTTGAATTTGAGTGCAGTAACTGTTTTGGCCACATTCTTACATACGACGCCTTTAAATGTTGCAGTTGTCCTTAGCTTCATATAACAAGAAGAAAAGTCTGCTAGCCCCTAGGCTAATTTATACAATGTAAAATGCCATAGGCTTGTGCTAAAAATATTAGCATGTTGTATTTGTGGGGAAAATGTGTGTTTGTCTGTGAATGCTGCAAGTTATAGTGAAGCTGATTTGTGTACTTGTGTTTGGAATTGTCTCTATTAAGCCATGTTTAATGTGTGTTTTAGGTGTGTTTTGGGTGTGTTGAATCAACTAAACTTTACAGCACTTCACAGAAATCCCACTGTTCACTAGTGTTTTGGAGGTGTAACTGCAGAGTGACACAGACACACCACCACACATGTATAACTGCTCACAACGGTGTAAAATCTGCATAGAGCTGACGCACAAGTATAAATCCCAAACTCAGGAATAAACTGCCTCCTGGAACTGGTCCATAATATTCAGCGGTGGCTACAACATCACCTGTAACTTTTTAAGTTTAGAATTTTATAATGTTCAGTTTAGTAGAGGCATCTATGGGTCCTCTGAGGCTGTAATGTGTTTTATTTTTATTGTTCAGGATATATTTTTATTCTAAGTGTAAATGCTCGGAGGTCAATATGACTTAACACATGTACAGTAATAATCCAGACCGTGGTTATCCAATAACCACACACAGACCGCAGAGCTGACATAGTTTGGTTTAGTGAAGTCAAACATTAGTCAGCTGAAGTGGAGTGGGACACTTTCAGGTTAGCTTCCGTTCCACATAGTATCTTAATGTCTTCTCATTACGGGCTGTATCACTCACTTCTGAGAAGCTGAAACATGATAATGGGGTGCTCATATTCCAGTCCACTGGCTCTTAATTGGTCTACCCTCAGGGTCCACACTTCTCCTTCCTCAATGAGTCACGGTTCACATGTCAGCTCACGAAGCGCCCATTCAGTTTTATTTCACAAGATGGAAACAAAACAAAAGTTCAACTGAGATTTAAAAGCTAATGAAATAAAAGGCACTGCAACAACATACCTAATGTGCTCTGCAGCTCTCTGGTTGCAATCATTACTCAGGTATATTACGGCCCTCTCATGCTACCTGCAGCTGCGTTGCTAACTCAGCGTCTCTGTAGCTAAACTTTTTAGACCCCATTGGTGAATTTATTTAAAGCAAGAGCCTATGGACACATGGAGTAACTTTCTGAAGACATTATGCACCTTCTTTTAAAAGTAGTCTCATATTACGTTCACTCTTCCAGCGTGCAGTCTTCCCTGCTTGTTATGGCTGTGGCTGTCTGGGTTTACATCTGCTATGTTTAGTGAGTGGTGGAGAGCAGACACATTCAGGCAACCGTGCAGCAGCCAGACTGAAAATTACACCACTCTCACCTTCTTATACTGGCAGCACCATAACTCCCCAACTACAGCTAAAAATGTCCATATCAGATGGGTGGAGTTTCCTTTTCACATAAACTGTCTGTTTTGTTTCCCCATCTAGATATTTATGTTCCTACCAGACCTTATTTACCTCAGCTTCGACCACTCTACCTGCCACTGTTTGATCATCAACTGAAACAGATTTAATATCACACCTGTGTCCTTGTGTATCGCCTGCGCTCCGAAAGGGCTTTCAGTGCCCCTGCTGTCTCTAAAATAAAACACACAACCTCAAAAGCCAAACAGAGCACAGCCCTAAAACATGAGTCAGCAATACTGCGTACAAAGGTAGCCACCTTGGCAAATAAGATATTGGCTTATTTCAGAGGTGGACGATGTGCAGTCTGATTTTGTAGCTGGATGAAGGTTAAAGTGTGAATCATTGTCAGCCCCTGGCACAGGCAGTATAGGAGAACGCTAAGGGTGCTGTTATCCATAGGGGGCGCCATAGAAGAAAAATCAAAATGTTTTTTGACAGCACTATAAAGTACATTTTAGAGAGGGAATTATGACACATCATTTATGTCGTAAAAAAAGCTTTTTTTTATTTTTTAACATGTTTTTCCTGTGAAAGAAGGTTATATTAAATGTTTCATAAAAATGTATTAAATTAAATTTGTGCTTATTGAAAGGTAGTGTAATGAAGGACTGAATGGCTTTAAAACTGTTCTTTTATTTTTTATAATGTAGATTTCTGTGTTTCCCTGGCACAAAAGAAGAATTAGTAACAACAACAAAAAAAACAAAAGTAACCAACATAAAATATATTGGCTAATATAAAAACATTAGTATGGGCTTTTGGCAAAATTGTTATTTTAAACATTGGTATCAATATCAGCCTAGAATTTAAAGAATGGTGCATCTCTAGTTCACTTTGAAAGCTGGTTTGTACATTTTATCATTATTTTACAATGTCATATATTACTTAATTGTTTATTCTTCTGATCAAGTTAATTTGTAATTGTTTTGTATATTGATTATTATAGGATTTTATTATTTTATTTTTCTATTTTTCCCCGTTAAAGGATTTTGGGGGGAGTTTTTCCTTATCCGCTGTGAGGGTCCAAAGGACAGAGGGATGTCGTATGCTGTGAAGTCCTCTGAGGCAAATTGTGATTTGTGATATTGGGCTTTATAAACAAAACTGAATGAAAAAAATTGAATTATAACACTTGTTTGTTATTAGCGAGGTAGTTTATTTACACTTTGGTAATTAAAGAATGTTTAAACATGTTTATTTTTTTGCAAGGGGTTGGGGCACCCAGGGGAGGCTCGCCTAGGGTACCAAATATGTTACAACCGCCACTGGCATGAATGATTCATTGGGCCCATAGTGGTACAGGGGGTGGAACATTACACCTACTGTTTCAGGGGCCCAACAGCCGCCCTCGGGATGCCTAGAATTTCTATCACCACCCCTGAGCAGCACCACTCACTGCAGCTACAGAGAAACATAACAAACACACACCTGTCTCCTTGTTCATGAGCTCATTGTAGTAGGCGAAGAAGGCTCTGAACTCTGCTGGTCTGTGAGACAGGACTTTGAAGACATTGGGCAAAAAGCCTCCCTATAAGGAAATGTCAAGTTTAGTAAAATCAGACTCATGGCAGTGTTAATGAATGTGCAGCACAGTTAAATGCCTCATTTATAAAGGTTTGTTTAGTTGTACCTTTGACTCAACTTCCTCCATAAGCGCCACTATATCAAAGGGTAGGTCTTTCTTGTAAGGAACTGGATAGCGACTGATGTTCTCCTGTGGCGGGTCACTGGAGAAACACCTGATCCCAGCTGCAGCCGCCGCCTTCCCCCGGGACAGGGACGCCTGGACGGAGGACATGAGTCACAGCAGTCCCACAGAAACAGCGCAGGAAAGGCAAAGCATGACAGTATCCCACAACTTACCAGCTGTGTGAGCACAGGGGGACGGAAAAACTTCAACACGAGCTTAGTCGCCATGTCAGAAAGTGCAGGAGGGAGGGTGTAAAGCAGCTGTCAGCTCCGGTAGTTTCCAGTCTTTCCACAATGATTAAGGAAGTCCTGCAAATTCTTGTGAGGTGTCGACTTTCTGCTGCTGATGTAGTTACAAAGAAATGTTATTCATCACGCGTTCCTACTTTGAGTCACCTGTAGTAGTTGTTAAATTAATGTGACGAGTTAGCCTCTATCTGGACACTCTGCTGTAGCAGTAATGGCAGAGTTTATTTGTATCTCACCGTGTTGATAAAATCTTGTGTTTAGCTTCGGGGATATATCAGAGGTAACGGTCCAATCACAGAGCAGCATGGAGTCACGCCTGCCAACTGGCCCCGCCCTCTTGCACTACTCCTCCCTGCCGCTAGGGAGCGGACTGTGCGCGCGGTGTAGACGTTGTTTCCATGGTTTCCATTGAGCGCTTATGCCTGTATGTAATGCAGTTTACAGCCAACAAGCTCCACAGGTAAAACGTATCTCTATAGTTTGAGTATAAACGGGTTAGTGAGGCTTTTCTGACTCTGAATATTAACTATATACTCCGGAGTTATTCCATACAGTGACTCCCTGCGAGTCAGAACTCAGGGTACCACTGTTGCTACCGACACCATAACCCGGAAGTGACTCATGAGCGACGGTTGGCTTTCATTCATTAAGTTCACAACGTTTCGGATAATTTATTAAAACCCAAAGATTGATCGAGTGCGAGTTGAACGTCGCAGCGGAAATGTTTTACCATGTAAGTATGTGTATTATCCTCCGTGTGTGAGCCGGCTGTTAGCAGTGTACAGTTGTTTTGTTTGTCAATTAGCGACTAGCTTAAATGTTTAGCATAGCTAATGTGGCTAAACAAAACTTCCAAATCCACGCCGCGTTGATTGGCGGTGTTGCCATAAAGCCATGCATATATACCACCAGCTTGATTAACCTGATACACTGAGGCAGAACCCACAGCATCCCATTCATAAAGGACATTTTTAAGGACTTTAATTTTTCGTATTGTCGGATTTCCCATAATCTATATTCATTGAGGAATACAGAGGACTACAGCCTGAACACAAGCGGCTTTTTACAGTACGCACAGTTACAATCACATTCCTTAAAACTCCCCAAAGAGGAGACAGATAAACAATTCAAGTCTGCAGCATTAAATAGAAGTGCCGTTTCAAGTGTGTACAAGATGCTGATCCTCTCAGTCCCAGCAGGAACGAGATTAGGGGGTCTGATTGACCCGTGAGGAGTGGCGAACAGTATGGAGGTGCCCAATGGGGATTTCTGTCCGTTAGAGCCAGAGTTATACAATTAAAGATCCTCAATACCCTTCAGAATTAAAATAGAATAGATCCTGGTATGGTTGTGGGCATCTGGGAGCTTTGATTAATTTGTTTCGGCACTGCCAAGTCAAGTCCTTTTGGAATGAAGTGTGTCATTGGATCTCAGCAATAATGAATATAAATCTTTCCCCATGTCCTCTGGTTTGCTTGTTGGGTTGTAGGGCTGCACAAGTTCAGTCAATACAAGACTGGAAAACAGTAGGCTTTTACTTATTGGCTGTTAAAAGAATGATATTGTTGAACTGCAGAATTGGGAAGCCAGCATGGTCCTCGATAGAAGCTTGGTTGCTTGAGTTTTCCAGTCTTACTGGTGTGGAAAGAATAGCTGACATGATCAGTGACACAACTTTTTGAAGGGGGGCAAATTTGGGATTGCATGTGAACATAGTATGTTTGAAACACTGTTAGACCGACACTGAGCAGCCCTATTTGAACTATTCCTGAATTTCTGGTTTCCCATATAAATGGCATGTAGCCTACTCCTTAAGACATATGAATTCATCTACTAATTATAAGTTGTAGTACTGTATACCCCCCTTTAATGTCTTATGTTGTCACATAATATGTTACTGTATTATTTTAAACCTTTTGTTGCTGTCTTTGTTATTGTTGTGGTTGAGGTATGTCTATTTGTTGTCCTTTTGTGGTATGTCTATATTAATATGATAATATAAATGAATAAATAAATAAAAAGAAATGAAAAATACAGGGGACCATCTCTTTGGAACAACCCACGGTGTCTATTGATCCTTAACAAGTCTTAAAATGTTTTAAATTCAATGTTACAGCAATAAGGCCTTAAAAGTCACTAAATCGTCTTAAATTTGAATTTGTGAGGTGTTAAACAAACATTTGATCTAATTTCATTTATCCATTTTTTTAAATTATTTTTGTGAAAATTAGTGAAGCCTTTCTATGTAAAAGTCCACATTTCTAATGTTACGAATCTTTAAAAATCTATAATACTGTAATTTTACTTCATATTTGCACTTACCTCTTGGCAAAATGTAGGTTGATTTAACTCAACACTCTACCTCTGCACAAGACCACATATATACTACTTACCTGCAGTGCTTACCTGCAATGCTTAATTAGGCAAAACATGATTTGTTCAAAAACCTGTCCTAAATTTGGTTAAAAGATGTCTTGCACAGGTCTTTAAAGCATTGAATTTAACTGTCTGATACCTGTAGACACCTTGCAACCTCTTTCCATTGCTACAATCAACACCAACATTATCATTAGGCTACATAAAAAACATCTTAAAAGGACTCTAATTTACAAATGCTCTACAAAGACACTTCATTGATTCATTTGTAATTAATTCTAGCTTGTAAAAACATTTTTCGTATCTGTACACTTCGTTTAATTTGTAGTACTGCTAGTCTTGAAACTTTGATCAATTTTGCAATCTTTGTTTTTATCTTTTTCTTTTTAAGGTGTCATTATTGCTATTTAGTAGGGGGCATGTCTTCATAAGCCAGTTTTGGCTCCTAACCTCTTCTGCACAATGTGTACACTTTATAAATTCTTACTGTCTTGCCTATACACAGGTATGTGCAAATAAATAACCTAAACTAATAACTTAAAACAGTATCTTATCTAATGCATCCCACACTAACATTGCTGTTGGAAGCAATGTCCTGTAATTCACGCATTGTCTGTGTTTCCAGATTTCTTTGGAGCATGAAATCTTACTACACCCGAGGTATTTTGGCCCTAACCTCCTGAACACCGTGAAACAGAAGCTCTTCACAGAAGTGGAGGGTACATGCACCGGCAAGTGAGTAGCTGCAAGACTTAATCATGTGCAATTATATAAAAAAAAAAGCGTGTTATTGTTCCGAGAGCTTCTTAGTTAAATGGTGAATAGGCTGTAATTTGACTGGAAAGTTAAGTTAACCTGTCATTTCAGTGACACGTTGCATTTGTTAGGTTGGAACAGATGCTACTAAAGTGCGGTGAACTTCAGTCTAATGCAGAGGTTAGTGTAAGCACTTTTAGGGGAAGAGGCAGAAACATTTTTTTATTTCTGGTAAGGTTATCAAGAAATAAAAATATTCTGGTATGATGAATTATTGTATGTTCCATATGAAAATTATGTCATAATATGTGTAATAATTCTGTCTAATCAAGACAACATTATTTATATAGCCCAATATTACACATAAATTGGCCTGTGGGGGTTTTACAAACTGTACAGCACATGACGCTGCCTGTGCTTTGACCCTTGCCATGGATAAGGGCAACCCCCCCTAAATAACTCTTGAAAAGGGGAAATATGGAAGAAACCTCAGGAAGAGCAACTGAGGAGGGATCCCGCTCCCTGAACAGACAGATGACCAATAGGCTAGATGTCGTGTGTACAGAATAGACCAACATAATAAAATTAAGATATAGACAGCACATATGACACAATGATACATAAAATTGAACATATGACAAAGATTGATTCAGGAGGATGTTAAAGGGGAACTAATGTTTTTTTCAACCTGGGCCCTATTTTCTGATCTACTTTTGTCTAAATGAGTGATAGGATGTTCAATATTTGACCTTTCTCCAGTACGAAGCTCAGGCTGACCTGCCTGCAGCCTCGGAGCGTGCGCTATATTAAATAATAGGGCACTGGGATAGCGTCAAACAACATCAAAATACGTCCACTAAAAGTGCATTTTTTTCACACAGATAGGCATCGGATTGTTAGTATAATTATGCGACAACATAACGGAAAGAAGAAATGAACGTCTGTGTTTACTTTTAGCTGGATTCGGACATGTTCCTCTGCCTGTTGCTGCTCCCTCTCTCTGCTCGTCCGCTCTTCAGTTTCAATGAGTAGTGTCCGTGTATGTCCGACTATGTCGTTATGTCTTCTAGTTTTATGAGATACCAGTATCATCATTTTAAAATCCAGCCCTCTATAGTCTCTGAGAGACTGAAATGTCAACCAGGATCGCTGACGGGTCTCAGAGGATTAAAGCTGTGAGTTTTGACCAGGCAATTTTAAAAAACAGCCAAGGGCAACAGATGAGACCCGATATTTGTTACGACAGTATCAACATGCAGAACAAGTTATTATATTGCATTTCCATTCCTACATGTACATGTACATGTCATTAATTTATGTAAATCTCTCCTTCAGGTATGGCTTTGTCATCGCAGTCACCACTATAGACAACATCGGGGCGGGTGTAATCCAGCCTGGGAGAGGGTTTGTCCTCTACCCAGTCAAATACAAGGCCATTGTGTTCCGCCCATTTAAAGGGGAGGTGGTTGATGCTGTGGTCACTCAGGTTAACAAGGTGAGGGACAAACAGTGCAAGTTTGCTGGATACCTGAAATATCTGTATTTTATTTTGGCTTATGGAATTCCCTACTGTTGTGGAGTACGTCTTTTAACTTCATCACAGTAAATGTGCTCAAGAGTTTATGCTTCTTTAGTTGTGAATGTGTTGAATATGAAGTAATTAATAACTGATAATGGAAATTTTCTTTTTGTGACTTGTCCAAATTCTATATTTTTCCGTGTCTTGCAGGTTGGCTTGTTCACAGAAATTGGTCCCATGTCTTGCTTCATCTCTCGCCATGTGAGTCACATTAACATCTACAGTTATTGACTGAGTCAGTCGACCTTTAATGTGCTTTTTGATTTATGTATTATCTTTATCTCACATGTATTTTTGTTTATGCAGTCCATCCCCTCAGAAATGGAGTTTGACCCCAACTCCAATCCTCCTTGTTATAAGACTGTTGATGAGGTAAGAACATTCATTATGTCTTGTAACCAACCAGAGGTTTAAAATAATTACAGTAATACCAAAAAGTATTTAATGAAATAAATGTTCACCAAATAGCATTATAAGGGTGTTTTCTTTTCTTTTTAAGGACATTGTAATCCAGCAAGACGATGAGATCCGACTAAAGATTGTGGGAACAAGAGTGG